TTCCAGGCACAGCAATATGTAACCTTTAAAAGACATACTACAGCCAGAACAAACATCACTTGCATATCCACCAAAAACTCTTGTGCTAAAGCTGAAGGAAGTTCTTTCCCCTCTGCTTGGCCCAGCAATGCTGAGAGGGAGGCACACACAGGCTCTGTGTAGCTCACAGGACAGTGACATGCTACAGAGGCTTGGGAAGCAGGATGCTGAGGACTGACTGTGGCACTAATGTTATCACTGCTAGAAAATCCTTAGCTTTCCATTGTGGAGATTCCCGTAATTAAAATACTTTAATTCCACAGGGCATTTGCAGAATGTTCATAATTCTGTTGACATTTTGCCCAAAAGATTACATATCCCTTAAAGGACCCAGAGTAAAGTTGCTGTATTTTGTTTAGTAATTAAGGATTGAATTTAGAAAATGRTGGGGGGAAGACAAGACTGCACTTTCTGCTACATTTTTTGGCAGTTTTAACACCTTAGGGAATTGGTGCAGCTTTTTGAACTTTCACATACRTTATCCCTAAACACAGCCATGACTTTGGGTTTTCTGTGTAGTTAAAGTTATCTGGAGAGATTCAAAATGTGATATACAAGAGCATAGCACTACCTAGCACTATTTATCCAATAGTTTCACCTATCTCTATGAGATCCTAATCACGTTCCTCATACATAATCCTCGATATCTGTGCACAGTGGCAGAATTTCTTTTTAATTACTGATTTCCAGCTTTTCATAGTCATGGCTCACATTACAAGGGGGTAAGGAAAGTGGAAACTATTCCTTCTGTCTCTATGGATGTGCTTGCAGCCCTTATGCATAAGAAGGCTGAGCAGACACTTTTCATTAAGAGATTTGTCCATGTGGGATGCAATCCGTGAGGGGAAGCCTCAGAGCAGGTATAGGTCCTTGTGTGTTTGTTGACTGTAAAAATGAACAACACCACTGGAACCATTTATGTGACTCAGGGTTCTTTATTAATGGAGGTGAGCTGCTGCTATCAATCCCACTTTAAGGTGGAGATGTGAGATTTTGATGGGCAAGAAGGCAGAAACAAAGACCGACCACAGAGGTGAGCTTGTTAGGTCAGTAACAGTTCACAGTGTTTGGAAGCAGAGAAGTGAAATTATCAGAGATTCAGCAGGGGAAAAAAAGCAAAAAACCATCACTGACTTGTCAAGATATAAAAACCTTTTGAGAGGAGGCAGAGAGGAGGCAGACAGTGCATCAACAGGACTGAGCATCTGCATGTTCTAAGGAGAAACAAAGGTTGACACATCTCTGCTTGATTGACAGCTCTTTGGACAGCAGAGACTCGCAAGGTGGCTGCCCCATGGATACTGAGCATATGAATGTTTAGCCTAATAATGTTAGTCCTGGCCCACTGCTGTGTGTCTTAGCAATAAATAAGACTATTTTTATTTATGGGCAATCCTGCTTTTGGGCCTCTATGCAAGTAAAAGATGCTCAAAACATCAAGGGTTACATTTACTGTGATCGGCGGTATTGTGCAGACTGCAGTGCTGGCCTCAATTAATTCCTCCTTGAATTAGAGCTTATCTGTTTGGAAAACAAAAATCCAGCCTCATTCTCTTTTGATTGAAAAGTTTTCCAGTGATGTATATTCTATTGTGGCCCTTGGGAAATAATTCCATTTTCATTATCCTGATTGTTAAAAATATGCATGTCAGTTTTCTTCTGATTTTGACTGGTCTCAAATTCCAGCCACAGAAAGCTGTTACATATATGCTAAATGGAAAAGACCACACATTATCAGGTTTTTGCATCTTGTTTGAATGGTGATTAAATAAGTCTTTCACCTTCTCCTTGACAGGCTAACCACACTGTGCCCTTCAGTCTGTACCCTAGCCATGTGCTACAAGCCCATCATTACCCTGACTGGATACTTTCTGAATGCTTATGAGTGCTTCAACACCCATAAACACAGTATTGCAGAGAGGATGCCACCACAACACACGATGCGTGAGTGGCAGGAGAAACTGTTTCTTGTTCATAGAGTCATCGAATTGTTAAGGTTGGAAAAGACCTGTAAGACTATCAAGTCCAAGTGTTAACCCAGTATCACCACCATGTTCACCATTAAACCATATCCTCCCATGCCCTATACATGTTTTTCACACTTTCAGGGACAGTGACTACAATCACTTCCTTCACCAAGGACCTTGCCACAAAAAAAAAAAAAAAAAAAAAAAAATCCTAATATCTAAACTGAACCTCCCCTGGCACAGCTTGAGGCCATTTCAGCCTGTCACTTGCTACCTGAGAGAAGAGACCAACTCCCACCTCCTGTCAGGCAGTTGTAGAGAGAGATAAGGTCCCCCTGAGCCTCCTTTTCTCCAGGCTAAACACCCCCAGCTCCCTCGGCTGCTCCTCACCAGACTTGTGCTCCAGACCCTTCCTCAGCTCCGTTGCCCTTCTCTGTACATTCTCCAGCCCCTCAGTGTCTTTCTTGTGGTGAGGGACCCAAAACTGAACACAGGATCGGTGGTGTGGCCTCACCAGTGCTGAGTATAGGGAGACAATCCCTGCCCTGGTCCTGCTGGCCACACTATTGCTGATCCAGGCCAGGATGCCATTGGCCTCTTGGCCACCTGGGCACTGCTGGCTCACGTTCAGCCACTATTAACCAGCACCCTCAGGTCCTTTTCTGCTGGGCAGCTTTCCAACCCTCAGCCTGAACTGATCACTGAAGAGTTCTTCTCCAAGTGCAATGACTGTAATTCTATGACAGTCCATGATGCGGTTATGTTTCCACTGATGTAGTTTACAAACATGTTTGATAGGAAAGTRGCAAAAATTAAGTTTTAGGGTAGCTCACCCAAGTCTCACCTCCTTGACTGGTATCACTCTGCTTTAACTCTTCTGAGCTGACTTTCACAGTTGGCAGTACTCTGCTTCCCTGGCACCTGCTGGAGGAAACCTGGAGCCATGGCACGCTGGCAATGCAATACACTGCACTGCAAACCAGGAGAAGTTCTGCCCGCCTCTCAGACCAGACCAACACGCTGGATCTGTTTCTCCTTACCTTTTTGATGCTGCTCCTCGAACCCTTAGATCGAAATACGGCCAAGAACTGACCCTTGGAGACTGGCACTCCAAGCTATGTGGCTCCTGCTGCTCTTATGTTCCTGGTGCCAACGGGCTCACTTCAAGGTTGCCAGCCTTATGTTCATGGGGCAAACGGTGATTTTCATATTTCCTGACTTCCTATTGCTTGTTCTTGTAACTTCCATGTTGTTATGGCATCAGTCATAAAATMAAAATTATATATAAATGTGAAAATCAGTCCTGTAAAGCAGCAAGCAATGTAGAAGACAATGATGTGTAGGGGCTTACATTTGTCTCATATGKGGAATAAGTTGCTTTAACTAAACACAAAATACATTTTCCTCTGTTTTGTCTTTTGGAATGAGAATGAGGGGGACAAATCAACAGAACAGGGATACCCCAGTGAAACTTCACCGAAATCATGCAGTTACACACCAGGGATACATTTGGCTGATTCTTTTGCTAATGGCTGTATGAAAGCCTTAATATAGAGTTTCTGCATGTGTGAAGTGTATGCCAAGACAAACGCGATGTGCTAAATGGAACCTCTTGATTTATTTAAATAAAAAATATGTTACAAAAAAACAGTGGATAATTGCCGTGGAATGGATCCAGACTGGAATCGTCTGTCTCGCGTCTCCAGAGTGTCTGAGGGAGGGGCTGTAAGAAATATCTTGCTTGTGTACCTAAGCCATGTAGGATATGCAGATAGCAGATAATTTCTTGAAACTGCTAAGATTCACCAAGGGACTCAGAGCTCTCTAGAAGACAAAGGTTATAATCAGATGTAAACCAGCTCTTTTGGCTGCAGCAGATATGAACTAAGATTATCAAACACAGCCCACTTTCACTTGTTCATCAGTTATCTTCCTATAGGCACTTCCCTCCCTATCTACTTTAGTTCATATCTGCTGCCATCAATCCCCACCTGGCCAAAATAGTCAAATTACAAAACAAAATTGCTATCAAATGTGTTAAGGATAAACAAGCACAGATCGTCATAACTGGGTTGGAGTACAATCTTGGAGATGTGCTGTGGGGATGGTACCCAAGAGCCATGTCTCRAGCTGGGCTGGAAGAGACAGAATCTTGGTGTGGATCAGCAGCAGCCTGAGCAGCATCTTTGAGCAGTCTTGCTTCAGTGTTGGAACACCGTGGGCTTTCTCCTTACAATTGCCTGGGGACCGTGGAGGTGTCTGCAAGCCCTCCAATGGCCTCCCTTCTGCTTGTGCTGACCTGCAAAACCCTTTAAGCCACATAACTGTTGAACTGTTTATCAGAAACCCCCCTCACATGAACCCACAGAGGTTTGGTGGGTTTTTCAAGCTCTGGGTTTCCCCAGTGTTTAATAGCTGGTATTAAAGCCCAACCAAATAGGGGCTTCCAGAGCACACCTAAATTCCACGGGAGGGCTTGTGCTGGGAAGAGGCAAGRCAAGAAGAGGCTGTGTACCCAATTCTTCAGATATGAGAGACCCAGTTTTGAAGGAATGCTTTGAAGGGTGCTCCCACGTGCTCTTGTTGGAAATGGTGCARAGAAGCTTCTTCTTCTTCGAGACATGAAGCTGTTCTACTTAGGATGAAAGAATTATGCAAAGCCTTGAGGAAGAGGTCAGAGCAATAGTAAAAGCTACTGCCCATGTTAASAGCATATCAGGTTCACCAAGTGCATGCAGCTCCCGTGCAGGGACACAACAGAACAGGAATCCTCATCAAAGTCCTCAGCCAAGGAGGGTCACTGCTAGGGATAATAAAGCAACTTTGTGTCTACATTTGCACTCAGCCCGCAGCAGACTATTTTAGCTTTAAGGGACTATCTGTGATAGGAGGCAACCAGCAAGAGGAGAGTGGGAAACTAGAGAGCAGAAGCGCTCCAGGAAATTCCATCTAATCCCTGGATAGACGTTGTCTCACATGTTGAGAAGTGTGATGCTGCAGTACTGGAGGAGTTATCTTGGTTACGTGAGTATTTCAGTATTGCCATCTTGGGTGAAAGTACCTGTTAGAAGAGCAAGATGGAGTGACAGTGCTTGCATAAATGTGTGGGACGGAAAAACACTGAAATATGGTTCACAGAAAGAATTAAAGGTGAGATTTTTCAAAACTAGTTTTACAAAGTTGGCCCTCAATTCTGTCTCATTTCTAGTGGGAAAGGGGTATCCTAGTTGGACACCTTTGAAAATGCCTCCTTTTTTTCAAGGGAACATAAATTCTATTTAATTAGTTTATATTCTTTAGCTGCTTAAGCACTTCAGAAAATGTCACCACAAGTCAACAAAGATGTGCTAATCAATTACATCAGTGAGTTTAACATTAGCATTCCTGCTTATTATGTTGTTTCTCTTTTTCTCCTTTAATTCTGGCTTATATGAAAAGTAGTACTACCAAATCCAACTGCCTAGGGCAGTGTAAATATTCTTATTTTGACATCTTGAAGTCAATACTGWCATGTGAAATCATAATGTTCTTTCACAGCCTCATCCAGGGTCCACAGAAGTCAGACAGAAAATTTCTGATGACTCATGCGGGTCTTGTCTCACGCTTTTAAGATGGCTTTTTCCACCCTCTCTAATGCCTGACCTCATACAGCTTTGTTCCTGTAACAAAAATCCTAGGGAATCTCATTCTGTCTGGTACCCAACTTCTGCCTGATTTCTTGGAAATGTCAAGGCAATTTGCTAGCACGGTTGAACTCAGAACAAAAGCCTAAAGGCTGATGAATGCTGAGCTTCTTTAAACAAATACACATATAAAAAATAAAATTTTATAGATTATTCTGTTCAYTAGATTTTGGCTAATACTAAACAACACCTAGTTGTAAGAGAGTAAGAGCTTTCTGTTCCTGTAAGAGTTTGTGAGAAATAGGAGTCATGCACATCTTAGAAAAAAGGAAATGTGGTACAGAATGTGGCCTCTGACATTGGGAACCCTTCCTGCAACAGGAGGGGACAATAGTGCAGTTCAGCAGCTAAAGTGCTGGACTGGGCCCTTGGAGCTGTGGACCTCACTCCTAGCTACAAACCACATTGTATGAATTACTACAACTCTGCCAATTTGAATTTCCCTCTGTTCAAAGGGAGAGAATGCTAATTTTWTCACAAAGCTCTATGGTAGGGGATTGTTTTGTTTGATTAGGACCAACTCGCTTATTATTACTCAGCAAGAAAAATTCAAAGACRTGAGAAGTTTTTAGACAGTGTTAACAAAACAGTTTTGTTTATGGCATGTTTTGCATTGGTAGTGTAACACACTGAAAAACCACAGCTCTCTTTGAAACTCACTTTCTTCCTTCACACAGAGTTTTTCAATTTCACAGCRCACAACCGATTCTGGAGGGGGGGTGGGGCAGAGGGGTGAAGAGAAGTGATGATTTTGGCAGCGACACCGTTATGATTTGCTAAAATAGCAGCTTGGCAAATCTGGTTTCTCAAATGTTTTGTTTTTTACTGACATGTTTTGTTAATTACTGACAGCTTTGTTTTTAACTGAACGTGAAACAATGTGGAGAAATGGGCAAGCATGGCCCCTGACTCACCACTGCCCGGCTATGCTCGGCAGGTGGGAGCAAGCTGTCTCCAAGAAGGGGCCCAAGCAGGAATTGCTGCCCCAGTTCATGAGGTTCAGCAGATAGACACAAGGGGAGAGTTCCTGGAACCCAGCTATGAGATGCCCAAAAGGAGCTCTTTCTACCCCACGCTCACTGGACTAGTAAAAGATTAGAAATCTTGCCAAAAAGGAAAGTGAAGCAGGCTGGAGAGAGAGGCACCCCCTTCCCCAAACACGGTTTGATCCGGGTAACAATGAGGCACGGGATGACTTGGGGGAACAGCTGGCCTTGGTTCAGTCCCATGTGGAGAACTGCAGGGATCCAGCTGCTCTAGACCACTTAGGATGCTGGGA